GGTAGGTAAAGTTTTTAAATGTAATGAGTTTTTGTTGTTGTTAACTTACAAATGTAGTAAACGAGAGTTGATACTTAAAGTTGCAAGTATTTATGTAATATACAAAGATATTAATGAAATGGACATATCTAATAAAACAAAGTTCTTAGAAAGTGGAAATGTAGGGGCTGGCAGGTAGAGTGGTGGGTAAAGGACCGGGCTCCCACGGCTGACCACAGTTTGAGTCCTGGACCTGGAGGCTTGCTTTCCTGCTTTCCTTTTCTCTTTCTCTGTCTCTCTCTGGTCAAATTAAACAAATAATAATGATAATAAAGAAAATAAAATAATTCTTAAAAAAAAAATAAAAGAGAGTGGAAATGCAGGGATGGCTCCGTGGTCTGGTGATTAAGGTAGCCAGATACCACTCAGTTGACCAGGAGGTTTGAATCCCAGCCCTGGCAGTTTAAAAAACACACTGGTGCATGTTCATGTGTGCTCCAAAATCCAACAGGGTGAAGGAATGGAGTAAAAGGAATGGCAATGTGTTCAGACCCCACTGTGCAGGGTGCCTTCTCCCTCTCCTCTGTCTGTTTCTGTGGTAAACACATGTACCCTCTTGCAATTTAAAGAAAAAAGAAAAGAAAAGAGGGTCACCCAATGGCGTGGTGGTTAAGACAGCTGGATCCCACATGGCAGACTATGTGGTTTGAGTCCTAGTGGCTTGAAAAACATTCTAGGTACATATGCATTCATAGCCAAAATCCCAAGAGAAGAACAGAGAAGGACTGCAGTGTGGCCATCCAGAGGGTGATTTCTCCCTTTCCCTCTCTCTGTCTCTCTCTATATACCTACCCACCAGATAGAGGAATGTGTCTTGTAGCAAAGACTTAAAAAGAAAAGAAAGTAGAAATGTAGTTGGTAAAATTAGACAAACAGATTAAGAGTAAGAGACCGTTCGTTCAGGGGAACCAGCAGTTAGTGTAATGGCTATGTCACTGGACTCCCACGTAGTCGACTGCGGTTCGTGTCCTGGACCCGGTGGCTTAAAACTCATGCTGGGCGCGTGTGCGTGCGTGCGTAAGCGCATGCACCCTATAGCGAAAACCTCTCCAAAAAAAAAAAAGAGAGAGACCATTCAGGAGGGATAACTATAGTACCCAGAATGCCTCCTGAGGCAGGGGGAAAAATACATGTGAAGTTCCAATTTTAGATATAACCTCTAGTTGTATAAGCAAGACTGAGAAAACGTAAACTTCCCTTAGAGTGAGTAAAAGACTAACCAAACTCATTCTGCAAAATAACCCATGTGGATACAGAACAGCACAAGTATGAGAGAGAGTGCATGAAATTGGGATCCTTTGGTTATTCCATTTTCACAAAGGGCTTCCATCAAGTCTCTTTCCCATGTGTTCTCTGCTGCAGTATTTTGCCTCTACATACCAAAACACTCACATTTTTATTCTTTGTACTATCATACTCAAAGTTGTTTTGGAAAACAAGAAATCTTTTTTTTTTTTTTTCTCCGAAAGGTACTGAAGGATTCTATATGGAAATAGTCAAAATACAGAAAAGGCAAGGTCTTGAAGATTTCGAGGTACGGAAGGAACTCAAGATGTGAAAGGACTCGCCCAGCTGCAATGGCACAAGTAGGGTCACCACTGCATGATGGCTGAGGCCACACAGGGGACCAACCTAAGTGGGTCAGGTATGGGGCCACATTCCTTTGGTTCTGGCTGACCAGAGGCTGGGACAGGAGGACTGTGGGAATCTGTCAAAAATAAAAAGGGCCCATTTCTCTCTCTCTTCCTCCTGTGTGCACGTGCACACACATTCTCTCTCCCTCCCTCTCTCTCTCTTATATATATATATATATAAAATTTGAATGATGTGGAGAGCAGCCAATCGAGGCCAGCCTCAAGGAGTGTCCATTCACCTGACTCTTTGTAGTTCCCCCATACTCAGGCCACACATTCAGGTGCCACTTTCTCTTTTTGTCCCTTTCTGGTCAAATTAAAAAATAGGTAAATTTTTTTAAAAAAGAAGCATCAAAATAAACACAGAGACACACACAAGTATGAAAAAATGAGGACTGGGTGGGCCCAAATTCTCTGAAGGATATGGCCATGACACTGAACGAGTCCTAGATTTATTCTTTTAAAGGGCCAACAACAGGGGAAGGAGAAGTAGAATGTAAAGCCAGCTGTTTTCCGACGTTAATTGACTGAAGATGTGACGACTACTGGTGCCCTGTAGTTTCTCTGATCTTTAGGGGCCTATTATGCTAAATACATGTAGCTTCCTTTTTTTAAGAGCCTTTTTAAAAAATATTTTATTTAACTTTATTTATTTATTGGAGAGGTTTTTGGTATAGGGTGTGTGCACTTGCCAGAAAGACAGAGACAGAAA